ATAAATTCATAAATTATCACTAATCATTGTACAGTCTAAGGTTTATTCTAGTTTAAATTAATCATTTTTTATGTGTTCCCTAAATAATAGACTAAGGATTCTAGGTATAAGTGATCAAATAAATACCATTTAAATTAAACCACAAAATGATTAGAACATAAGTAATTGGTTAAATTATGAATAAATTTGGGGATCAAATCAGTAATAATTTTTAAAAAATCAGTTTTTTTTTAACCGAATTCATTAACATTTCCGAATTCGAAATCGATTGCAAAATGAATTCGATTATACCCAATTCGAAATTGAAAACAGTTTAAATTTCTATAAATCAAATAACTGAATTCACCGAATTCAACTAACTGAATTACCGAATTTGTACTGTTTGCTCACCCCTAATTCTGAATCTTGCTTTTTTAAAATTTATTTGATAAAATCTGAGCGGGCATCCCACTCTTTGTCAAAAGAAACTAGTTTATGCTTGACCACGTTCTTGACTGGTGTTATGGAATTAGCAAGTTTTAGCCGTGGCTCGCCAAACAAATGATGGCAAAATTTGATGGCCCAGTAAATTGTAAAATGAAGCTATAAAAGCAGTTATTAAAACCAGCCCAGGAAGAAACCTAACGAAGGAGGTGGGTCAACGGGTTACTAGTTCAACTAGTGGGTGAGTGGTTGAACCGATGGTCACTAAATATATTTAAACATTATTATTCATAATTTTTGATATAAAATATATGATATAAATTGTAATAAATAATGCCATAACAAATGCTCATTTAATTTAATTTGCCATAAAATAATTAATTCATATAAGAATCAATCAAATATAAAGTTATTTAGTAAAACACCAAACTTCACGTGTAAAATTTTATTTATGTTTAGTGTAATTATCTAACTTATTTATGAATTTTAAGCTCAAAAAATTATTAAAAATAATATTTGTCTTTAAAATGAATTATGTAATATGTTATTTTTGAAATCCATTTTATAACTTATAGAGTTTGGAGGGTCATAAATTTTTATTAAAAGATTCCAAATAAATTTGTTTTAGAGAAATAAAAAAAATAGAATTGACAAAATGGTTATATATTATAAGAAAGCTACTCTATTATCATATGGTGAAGTTGCTTGGTGGTAAGCATGTTATAGCATTGGCCAAAGGTCCAAGGTTCTAATTGAATTCTAGCAAAGTAACAAATTTTTTCCACAAAACCGCCTAGTTTTCGATTTAATCCGGTCAAATCGCCGGATAGTTGACTAGTCAACTGTTTGCTTGTTCAAATGATCTAATTTAAAATCCAACCCGACCCAATGGCCAATTCACCAGTTTGACCGGTTCGACTATTAGACCGGGTCGGGTTTAATAACTATGTATAAAAGTAATAGTAGGAGGCGGAAATTTGTCCGTGCATTATATGTCATTTTGGGTGACCGACAATAAATTTGGAATGGACAAAAATGAAAGTATGACACTTTCATTAAGATGGAGAGAGTACTAATTAACAATTGAGCTATGAAAAGAAAAACTAAATTCATCACATAAACTATGAATTATAGGTACAAATTATGAATTATACATGATTCTAAGAATTTCCCCTAAAAATTACAAAATAAAAGTCACAGTAAGATCACACATTCAATATATTGTTAACAAGGATAAATTTAACAGGATATATTTAAGCCTCAAAAGAAATTTTTAGCGAGGATAAAGAGAGAAAAAGAAAAGGATAAAGAAGAAAAAAGAAAGAAAAATAAAAATGTAATACTTAACATGTGACTTTTGTTAATAATACATAATAAAGAATTCTTAAGACAAACAAAAAATTACTTAAATTAATTTCATAAATGTAAACTATTTTTAATTTCCTATGATGATTTAGTATAATTAAATATTTTTATAAGATTAGAGCAATAAATGTTTAATCATAAAAGAAGTTTGTTTTAACTTTTATTTTTAAGTGTAAGTAGAATAGCTCAAATTCAGGACGTTTCACTTACCCTCCTTCCTTTGGAGCTACTCAACCCATCTCTCCCTCCATAAAAGAAGTTATTTAGCACACTATTGTCAAAATTATTTACTATAATACAAATGAATGGGGAGCAAAAAGAAATCTAAACATAATAGAAAAGAAGAAAAAAAGAAAATGAAAAAGAGCCATGGAATAATTTTTCTAAGATGAGGGCATAATTATCTTTTCGCTACTCATATACATTTGACTTTGAATCAATGGAGGGTATTTCGTAAATTTTGTAAATATAGGCAATGAGTTGCCACTAATTTCTAATTATAGGGGATAATATGCAATTAAGCCTTTCAAAATAAAAAGTGTCATACTTTTCCATGGAAAGTATGGTTATATTTAGGAACAATTCACCTTAAGGGCAAGAGTTAAACTGGGTTGAGTGATAAGGTAAGAGAGATTATTGTAAGCAGAAGGTCCTGGATCAAGATCTCTCACTTACGAAAAAAAAAAATTTCACCCTCCCCAAGGCTTCATGCAAAGCTACTTTCACAATCCTGAACTTGCTTCCCCTGTTGACCTAAAATGACTATTTACTCAACTAGACATTACTTTTGCATCATGGCTTGTTTTTATTTACATCAAAAGTCAAAATATGGGAAAGAAGGGTAAGCGGTTTTTGGGTTTACAAAGCTACTTTCACTTTCCTAATATTAAACTTACCTCTCCTGTTGATCTAAAATTACTATTTAATCCTCAACTAGACATTACTTTAGCATCATGGCTTGGTTTTATTTACATCAAAAGTCAAAATATGGGAAGAGGGGTAAGTGGTTTCTGGGTTTAGTGGCTCCTGATGAGCTGAAAGCCTGAAACAATGTCATGTCTGGAACCAATGAGGTAACTGCCACATCATTAGTTTAAGTAGTGATTAGTGAAGTTTTTCTACTTTTTGTATTTGCAACACCTAGAAACAAAAAGGGCAAATTATCCAATTGGCCCTTTAACTCTTTGTTTAGGTAAAATTAAGCCCCCCATCTATTTTTTTCTGACTTTAAGCCCTTGAACTTGTAAAACTGATAAAACGTGGCCCTTTTAGCCAGTTTCTCCGGTTTTGCAACCGGAGAACCAATTCACACGAATGCAACTTTAGTTCTTCAAAGGGCATTTTTGTCCGCATATTGTAAACAAAAAGCACACAACTCCTCCCTCCCTCCATTTTTCTATCCCAACCCTACTTCACAGCAACAATGGAAGCAACAATGGAGTGGCAAGAGAAAAGGTTTCCTACATTTTGCTTACCCATTTTCATCTTCCCTTAAGGATCTTTGCGAAGGGAGAAGAGCAAGAGAGAATCAGCACTGTCGGCTTTGGGTATCATCGACATTGAAGCAACAAGGAGTGACAAATCAGGCCGGAAAATCATCGACATTGAAGCAAAAGAGCAGTCTGAAAGGAAAAAAAAGGGGGAAAAGGTAAAAGCTTTGTGAAGGGAAGGAAAAAATGCGCAAATATCGCGGCCCTCTGCTTCCTACTTGTCGTTGCGGTAAAGTCACGAAGATGATTACTTCTTGGACTGATAGAAATCCAGGAAGAAGGTACGCCGTTTGCTCAGAAGAAATTGGTGGCTGCGGGTATTGGAATTGGATTGACGACGAGATGTGCCGTCGTTCTATTGAGGTGATACCAGGCCTTCTAAGGAGGATCAATGCAACAGAAAAGCAAAAAGACGAATTTGAAACTGCAGCCGCGAGATCCGAGGCAAAAGCTGCCAAGTTGAAGGCAAAATTGAGAGAAACAGAGAAGCAGCTGCGGTGGCAAAAATGGTTGAACAAGTTGCTTGTAAGGGTTTTTGTGGTAAGTTGGTTGGTTGCTGTAATAATGGTGCTTACAGAGAAAAAAATTGCAGGTGGAGTCTCTCTTGGGATGCTCCAAATTGGGAATAAATGTAATGGGATTATGCAAATTGAAGAGGATACATGAAGGGCAGTGTGTAAGTGTAACATATTGGATAGGGGAACTGTCAGTTTTGAGAACCATGGATGGAGCAAATGGATCTATGGTGTATGATGCAGATGGTTAGGGAGAAGTATATTGTATTGTTTAGCTTAAACAAGTCTTTGTTGTACCCACAGATTAGTGTGAAAGTATGGTTGAACCCAATCAATGCTAACTGTAATTTTCGGCAAGTAATGTGATGAGAATTATTTATCCCAATTCGCATGTCATGGGCTTTGTTGGATTTATTTGATTTATCTAGTCAACAAAAACTGCTATACCAAACCATACAAATATAAGAGAGCAACTGCATAACATTAGAATATAATTAGCAAAAGGAAATTACAATGGTGTTTGCCTGTAAATACAGTCAACAATCACTGTCATAGGAAACAGACAAATACACAAAAAGCAGTGACCTGTGTCCATCTTACTAGATACCAAGCACAGGCACATGCTTTGATTCCCCACAAAAGCCTATTCAAAAAAATATCATTTATAGTTTCAACATTCTAGTTACATCCATTTACAGTCAACAAAATCACACAAAAATATTTGCAGGTCCAAGAATACTTCAAGAACTTGTTCCAGATGGACCCTTTCCTCTTCCCCTTCCCCTGCCTCTTCCTCTTCCTCCACCTCTTCCCTGCCAGTTTCCAACATTGAAAGGTGGATCTTTACCCAAATAAGCATAGTTGAGATTAATAAAACCTTTGTCTGCTTCTGTCAGTGGCCTTTTTGATGTACTTCTCTTGTTCCTATGAACTGCTGGCCTTGAGGTGGATTGTTGGGACTGAGGTTGATGTGTTGGCTGCTGTTGAGAAGGATGGGACTGAGGTTGATGTGTTGGCTGCTGTTGAGAAGGACTGAGGTTGATGTGTTGGCTGCTGTTGAGAAGGCTGGGACTGAGGTTGCTGTGTTGGCTGCTGTTGAGAAGGCTGGGACTGAGGTTGCTGTGTTGGTGGCTGCTGAGAAGGCTGGGACTGATTTCTTTGTCCCTGATTCTTGCTTACCTACAAATTAAAGAAAGCATTTCAGATCTCAAAAAAAGGTCACAAACAGGCTGAAAGTTATAATGAAGTGCAAACGCACACGTCGTCTTTTTGTTGGTGCTTCATGCTGCTGCTGTTGAGAAGGTTGTCCAGTAGGTGCTGGTTGTTGAGAAGGTTGCTGTTCAGTAGATGACTTAGGAGGATTCTTGCAAGTTTTAGCATTATGTCCAATCCCTCCACACTTTCTACAGTGGATTACAACCCTCTTTCGTAACCTTTTGCCATGATCTTTTCCTTCTGTAACATCTCTCTTTCTAGCTTTCTTTGGCCTACCAGGTTGAGTGACACTTGCTGGTGGATCCAACTCCAGCATGTCTGACTGTGGCCACTGAATATCTCCATTAATAGGCTGCAACACATTATCATAGATGGTAAAAAATACCTCCCTATGATAGCAATTAGCCAACATTTTGTAGGGATCCTTTTTAGCTCTATGTAGAGCAGCAATTGCATGGGAACATGGAATGCCACTCAAGGCCCACAGATTGCAGGTGCACTCATTTTTGTCAAGGTCAACAGCAAATTGGGCTCCCCGTGGCCCTTTTGCTTGATAACCTGAGCTTGAATTCCATGTTATTTCCCATTGTGCTGCATGTTTGACCCTTTCTTCCACAATCGATCTAATGAGTGGTCCACCATCTAACTTGTATTTTTCCATTGCTGCCCTTCTCTTTTGGATCCTTTCCATGAGGTATTCCCTAATAGCCTCCATCATAGAAATAATAGGCTGGTCCCTAGCCTCTAAAATATGGGCATTAAATGATTCACACAGGTTATTAACCAACATATCACACTGTGTATGTTTGGAAAAAAAGGCCTTACACCAATGTTGAGGGTGTGGTCCCTTCTTCACCCATGCATGTGCTTCTTGGTCATAGGCTTCAAGGTCATCCAAGGCTTGGTTGAAATGTTCCACTGTTGTGGTGCTTGCTATATGCCACAATCGATCCTTTAAACCTAATCCTGGATGTTTCTTTTTTAAATTCCTATACATGTGTTGAACACAGTATCTGTGTTCAGAATTTGGTAGAACCTCTGCGAGTGCTCTGTCTAGTCCCTACAAAAAATATCACAACAGGTATAAGTTAGATATACCAGCCAAGTGGTTAGTTTGAGGGCAACAAGTATGCTATATTAAAAGTTGAGGGGCTTGTTTTTACCTACACTAAAAGTTAAGGGGCTTGTTTTTACCTACACTAAAAGTTCAGGGGCTTAAAATCTGCTATAAAACCATAGAATAAAAGTTTTAGATCTCTCATTAAACTTTTACCTTCTGCTGGTCGGACATGAAAGTATAATGTCCCTGGTTCTGTATTTCCAGGTCGCCACTCAAGAGGGTTAGGAACCATCTCCATTGCTCCGTGGCCTCTTTTTCAACAGCTGCCCATGCAACTGGCCAAAAGCCGTTGTTGGGATCCACTGCAATAGCTGTCAACAGCTGGCCTGGGTACCTACCTTTAATATGACATCCATCCAAACACAAAATAGGTCTGCACCCATCTTTAAAGCCTTTCTTCAGTGGGCCAAGGCAGCAGTACATCCTCATGAACCTTGGATTACATCCAGGTTCTCTAAATGGAGTGAACATAACCTCCATTGTACTGCCAGGATGAGTCCTTTTAATTTCTTCACAATATTGCCATATTTTCTTGTATTATGACTCAGCTGACCCCTTGATCTTCTCTATAGCTAGTGTCTTCGCCTTAGCTGCAACATGCTTAGATACTTCTGCCTGGTAGTCTTCATGGACTGTTTGCCTTAACTCTCTTGTTGGCAGATTGTTATTTGATCTTATCCTCTCTACATACCTGTCAGACAGCCACTTGGCTATAATATTCTTATTTTTCCATGCATGGCTGCATGTTTCATGGACATCATGCAGACTCTTTACTACCAAGTCCTTTGTGCCCAGAGCCTTTTCTATTGAAGCAAATACAAACCATTTACATGGTTCCCTGCACTTGGCCCTCACCCTGGTGGGCTCATTTTTACTAGTCCAAACAGGTTTACCCATCCTAATCCCATACTCGGTCACAGCAGATTTGAATTGTGCTCTTGACTCAAACTTCATCCCAATCTCGAATTTGGGATCCCTGAGGAATTTCTCTAGGACAAAGTCCTTGTATCTCCCTTTGAATTCATCATCTGAAGAGTCATTGTCACTGCTCAGGTGATCAGGGATGTAATCTTGTTGGAGTGAATCTATATCCTCTGGTGCCTGGCTAGTTTGTTCTGCTGATCTGGTTCTCTTTCTCCTAACTTGTTTCTTTCTCGCACCTTGCTGTTGTGTTTCCAAGTCAGTTTCTGTTTGCCTTCCACAAACATTCTCCTGTTCTGAATATTGCGTCTGGTCAATTGTTTCATCTCTCTGCTGTTGCTGTGAAGTTTCACCACAACCATCAGCATTCGAATTCAAAATGTGCAGCATAATCTCTTCACCACCATAGTCATTGGCACCACTGAATCTATCATTTTCTTCCTCTACTTGTGATTCAGATTCATCATCTATGTTTTCACCCTCTGCTTCATGTTCACCTTGCTGTTTACCACCATAGTCAGCTTCATGTTCACCTTCGTGTTCACCACCACCATAGTCAGCTTCATGAACACCCTCTTCTGTCCCAACATTACTAGCTGCATGAGTGCTTTTTGCTGTTTTTGCACCCCCTACCTTTTCAACCGTATCTACACCTTCTACTGGCCTAACATTACTATCCCTTTGACTGTTTTTTGTTCTTTTTTCACCCCCTACATTCCCAACCATACAATCCCTTCTACTACTCTTCCCAGTACCTACATATCTAGTTATGCATTCTTCCTCATCTACTTCCTCTATGACAACTCCAGTTTTCTTTTTCCCCTTGTCTGGTGACTCTATTATTACAGTATTTTTCAATTCTTCAATTTCTGGGTCTGTCAGATGATGGCAATACACTTCCATCACCTTGAATTTATATGCCCAGTCACAGAATGTCCTAACATGGGTATCAGTAGACAATTCTCTCAAACCAGTCCTCATGTCTGCAACTGGTTCAAGGTAATAGTATAAAATGGTTGCATTACGATGACCAACTTTTCCAACCATTTTATTCAACTCATGCATTGACATACGTTCAGCATCACACATATCTATGTAGGCCACTTCTCCATTCTCATAACTGACATAATTTTCCCAATTTATTCTTCCCCCATGGTGTAATCTTATGCTAAATATTTCACATTCTGGATCTGCATATCAATATGAATATATTGTTTCAATACAAGTTGGGCTACAACAAATGAAGATAAATATACTATTCAAATTCAAATATAATTAATTAAAATTTCAATTTCTTTTTCACATACTTTTTATCAAGGGGAAACCCTAATGTAATGCTTAAATCGAAGTTAAACAATACAAAAGTTCCAACTTTTAATGAAATGCTAATTATTCATCAATCCCTACACTTTTTGAACATCTAAACAACAAACTTTGGTGCCCACCACCATACCCCCACATCTAGGACCACTGGCACGTCACTTTCAGTAACCCCCACCACCAAAATTTTACTCTTTTCACCCATCTGACCACTAAATATGCTACCTATTTCACATTTAAAGGTTCCAACAAATATACATACCATAAGCGAGGATAGGATCAAAGTATTCATTTTCTGGCCTGATTTGCCACCCCTCCATTGTTGCTTCAATGTCGATGATACCCAAACCCGACAAGTAGGAATTAACTCTCTTGCTCTTCTCCCTCCGCAAAGATCCTCAAGAGAAGATGAAAATGGAGAAGATGAAAATGGGTAAGGCTGTTGCTGTGAAGTTTGCAGTTGGGTTGGGTTAGGAAAATGGAGGGAAGGTGGAGGAGTTGTGCGCTTTTTGTTTACAATATGCGGACAAAAATGCCCTTTGAAGAACTAAAGTTGCATTCGTGTGAATTGGTTCTCCGGTTGCAAAACCGGAGAAACTGGCTAAAAGGGCCACGTTTTACCAGTTTTACAAGTTCAAGGGCTTAAAGTCAGAAAAAAATAGATGAGGGGCTTAATTTTACCTAAACAAAGAGTTAAAGGGCCAATTGGATAATTTGCCCAAACAAAAATCCTCTTAAACGAGGAATTTCACGGTTTGTAAACAAACTTTTGCTAGTCTAAACTTCTGGAGAAAAGGATTCACCACATCTCTTAGTAATAGTTATTACTGCATGTTCTTGTACTTAAATAATTTCTAGGAAGAAACTTAAATTCCATTGCAAATATCAGAAGGTTCTCAAATTGTTAGTGTTTAGAAAAATAATATTAAGTTAAAAAAGAGGGCTTCAAATTTATGATTACAAATCTATAGATTTTAAGACTCGAGGCGATGGATGTATCTTTGCCTAAGAACCCTGGACCTCAATAAAATCATTAAAATACTTGCTGCTGCTTCTGGTCATAAAACATCAACCATCTGCTTCCCCAAGAAGTAGCTACCTTAACACTTGGAGTTTGCCATGTTCTAGCCTCCAAGTGAGAGCCTAATAATTAACAAACCATTAAAATTTGAGTATATTTTTTATACACTGTTAATGTAAAAAATTCTTTATACAAGCAAGTTTTGATCACGCCACATGACATGAATTTAAACTTGAAATTCAAATCATACGCATGTAATATACTTCTGTAGCTGCTAGTGTGAAAAAATTACTACACTATCAGCACATAAAAAGTTAATCCTTAAAATTTTGGTGCTTGTTGGCTACCAAATTGAAGACAAACAGATACCGTACTTCTTGTTAATCAAATTGATGTGTACTTTTTGAACACATCAAATGTGAAGCTACTCTAATATTAAAAAAAAAAAAAAAAAAAAACTCAAGTTTGATGAGGGAAAAGCAATGCATTTCAATCAAGAAGGTGAAAATTACATACAGCTCAAGGCAGGGAGACTGCCTATTAAACAAAAATTGAAGCAGCAAAAGAGATGTATTCATTAGCGCTAGCGCACACGCACTCCAAAAGAAATAACCTACTCCTGGAAAGAACTCCTAACGCTATTTCCACTAAGTGGATCAATGAATTGTGAAGTTTCTCCAAAATTTTCACAGAATCAATAAAATAGGACCAACGAAAAACTTGGGGACTGGAACTGCTACAGTTCTACCAAATATATGAGAATGAAGGACCTCAAACCGGAAAAATTAGTAAATCGAGGGATCACCCGAAGCATTTTTTATGTGCTTGTAGACTAAAGCTCAGACGTCAACTACTGGAGAACTTCAAATTCAGCACCAATTGGGAGATGATCACTTGGGTGATAATGATTTGGTAATCCACCTATCACATCAGGGGACTCTGATTCTGGAAGTTCAAGGAAACTGACTGGCTTTACATCTCCAGTAGGAGAAAATAAGGTATAATCGAGAGTTCCTGTGAACCCAGGAGTGCAGTTTGTAAAGTGTGGTTCCTCTCTTGTGTAGGCATAAACACTAGATAGAGGAAGGGGTTGATCATCCGAACTTTCTGGCAGATGCTCAGGCAAAGACGAGCCAGAAACAAGGTACTGATACACCTGAAATAACAGAAGTCTCATTTAAAAATCATAATTACCAGCTAAAAACAATCAGCAACAGCATCCTATTAAAGCTCATTTTAAGATCTTATAAAAATTACGGCACTAAACTTGAATCTCAGAAGAAAATATTTAAAGCAAACTGTATACCAGTACAAATTGATAGTATAATGATTGATTACCTAAAGATACACACAGAGAAGAGCATATTTAATCATTGAAGATCCAAAAAAAAAAAGTGATATTTGCTTTTATTAGAGTATTTCGTGGGAAAATGTTTAACTAGTTTTATTTTAAAATGGACTCATATATTTAAGTAGCATTGCAAGAAGCCCCAAATCCTTGATTTGGCCAGGAAAGAAAACAGATGAACAATCACATGGATAATATGATTCTAAGAAATAATTCTATCCTAGTAGTTTAATGTTTAACACAAGTTCTGAAAGAAAAATAGTTCACAACACCTATCAGCAAGTGCACCTTTATCTGGAATTTTTAGCTTAAAGGACTTTAACTTGAATACTACCTAATGACAAAAAAAAAATTAACCAGAGAAAACAAATGAGTAGACATACTCATGCAGCCAACAGATAGTGTGTGAATATACAAGCTCTCCAAAATTTTGCTCAAGCACTGAATGGATTCATTGGAAAATGGAAAAGGTGAAGTTTACTTTAGCAAGACATGGGCACTTAGTTGCATAATTGTGTAGTCTATTTTGGTTTTTCTATTACAAAGGCTAATGAAAAATTTTCTGTTTTGCAGGAAATTATGCAATTTTGATATTCGTACAAACGCGCATACATATAAATGCTTCCTGGTGTGTCTTTGTCCTAGAATCAAAGTTGAGAACCATTTTAAGGCCTCAATTGGTTTAGTAAAAGAATCTTACTTTGTGTTTGTAAAAAAGTAAATCCTGGTCAAGGTAGAAAAAGATTTTGGAGTCTTAGATAATGTACTTCTCTTCCAACAGAGACAGAATTCAGTCAATAAAAGTTCCTGCAAACTCTAGCCTCCTTCTTCAGGTTATATTATGGCATTTTTTATGCATGGAAGTTTCCA